CGAGTGAGAGTAAGAGAGAGTGAGTGAGTCAGTGAGTGAGTGAGAGTGAGAGTGAGTGAGAGAGAGTAAGTGAGAGTGAGTGAGTTGGGAGAGCACTATTAAAAGGAAGTCTAAGTCCAGAAATAATAGATATGCTCTGAACATCAGAGGACTTTATTTTTGTGAATTTGGGTCAATCACAAATTAAGGACCAATTCTTTTAGCTATCTACATCGATTTTGTTTTATCCTAGATTTCAAATATTTATTGAACGTGTAGCCGAAAAGGGCAGTATACTAGACGATGTAATAATGCATAAAAAGATCTGTTCCTTTACTTATAGGATACCCTCAAAAGGTTCACCATTCAGTCATATTGCCAGAAAGCGCATTCTATTTTTCATAAATCAGATAACCTGATTCTTAATGAAACACGTCTCAAGTTAGGCACTCTCACAAGCCTAATTTTCCTTCTCCAAATTACTAAAATAGCCCTGATCCAATCCTCTTCTAACTCACTAGCTGCATTTGTACAGCACAGCTCTCAACAAACTATGTCCCTCCTCCAAATCTTTATATAAAGCCCAAAGTTAATAGCATGGTTAAGTCATTCCAAAGTATTTGCTGTTCCCAAAACACTCTTCCAGCCATTTGCATCTCTTCAGGTTACTGCTTCTGCCCACACCAGCTAGGGATACCTGGTCTAAGACTTATCTCTTCTTGTTAAAACAGTACATATTCTTCAGGGCCCAACCAAATGCCACTTTCCAAACCCACTCAGTACTCAAGTAATTTTCTTCAGTCTCCTACTGTTCTTTTTGAGTGTAGACATAAAAATGGTCATTACATAAAAGTTCTCACTTCGGTGAAACTAGAAGGAACCGATATAGGCTAATGGACGAGATTCATGTAAACTACCCTAAAAGCAATCTATAAACAACGTACTAAATCTGATAGTCTTGAAAAACTAACTAGGAAACACCTATAACCTAAGTAGACATACTTAGGTTTTCTAAAGAAAACAGTAGCATAGGAAAAGAGAAAACCCGTCAAGAGTATGTCAGCCCCGGGAAAGTGTTGCCTAAGTCTGTAGGTTTCAGAATCTTTCTCCCTACTGTGTAAATGAGAAGCAGTTAACTTAAAAGGAACCCAAATCTGGCCTTTTAGGTAGAAATTTCAAGTTTTTAACCATTAGTAATAATTTAAATTTAAAGTATTACATGACAAATTAAGTTTGTCTGCTGGTCAGACTTGGTCCTCCAAGAATCCAGGTGGTATCCTTTGGTGTAAACAGATCAATCTAGCGACCTCCCCCCACTTGTTATGGCAGTCATTATGAACCCAACTTTCATTATAATCTCATCTTTCATGAATATTTTCAAGTGCACCCTGGACTCCTGGCAGTTATCTTTCTGATTCTACATAAACATTCAAAAGTAAATAATAACTTTTCCTCCTCAATTAGATGAACAGGGATTTGCTCCCAACAAATTCCTCTGGATTCTTTTGACCACTCGATCCCAAATCACTATTAACTTCCACCAAAATACGATGCCACTCTCAAGGCATTGTTTCTCCCCTAACCTTAACACCTCCACAGTAGACCAGTTTCTTATTATGTTTTGATCCACTTATTAGAAGATCCAGAAGAAAATGAGAGAAAAACGTAGAGCAAAGCACAAAATCAAAATAGAGTCCAGGCTTACTGCTTGGAAAGAGATTGGTGGTATCGCTAACATTATGGACTGTAGTTGCCTTTCAGGTCTAGGACTGAACTCACCCCCATGTGATAAAAATCAACCATTTAAGCTCAAAAGGGCAAGCAACATTTACCCAAGGACCAAGTGTAGAGGGTTAGGAAAGAAGGGAGACTGGAAGCAACAAACACTGGGAGGCAATGGGGTTAAGTGATGGCACACCGCAAGGGTGGCAGTGCATGAACTGTTGCACATAAAACCCATGATCTTCTCTGTAATTCACAAGATGAAGTCTAAAATTACAAGTTTTGGTGTCAGCAAATGCTGCATCTCTTTAATGACGTTATTGCTGCTAGGTGCCACCACGTCAGTTCTCACTCATAGCCACCCCAGTGTACAACAAAACTTAGCACTCTCTCGTCCTGCACCATCCCTTGTTATGTTTGTGCCCACTGCAGAAGCCACTCTGTCAATCCATCTCAGAGGGTCTTCCTCTTTTTCATTTCCCCTCCTCTTCACCAAACATGATGAGGGGTAGATTTGGGGAAAATGCTAATCCTTGTGTATCTTAGCCAACTCTATGCAATATAAAGCATGACATATAAAGATTGTATAGCCAGTTTATAAAGTCCAAAGGAATCTTATCAGCCATGTATCTACATCAGTATACCAAACGAAATGAAGAGAACTTAAAGGCTTCTTTCATGTTACAAAGCTTAAAAGCTGGAGAGAACCTAATTTTCCTGGCCTCCAATTAAGTACTTGTTTCATTATTAGTCTACTACATTGAGAATGCTTGAGTTACATCAAGATAATTATATAAAATTTCCGTTAATATTTGAGCTTCGAAAAGTTATGGCCCTAAAAAAGGGAGTCACTCAATTAAATGATCATTTGTTTTTCTTAAATTGAAGGGGGAAAAAGTAGTGTGAAAAACATCTTTATGATGTCAAAAATTTGTATCCTATAAATTTAAAACCTGTAAGTGCCATCAAGTCAGTCTAACTCATAGTGACCTATGTACAGCAAAATTAAACACTGTTGGGTCCTGTGCCATCCTCACAATTGTTGTGATGTTTGGGCCAACTGTTGCAGTCACTATTGTTAATCCAACTTATTGAGAGGCCTTCCTGGTTTTCACCACCCCTCAACTTTACCAAGCATGACAGATATCCTCTCTCCAGGAACGTCTGGATCTACAGACCAATTAACAACAACCAACTTCCCTGGCCGAAGACTATCAACATATGAAGCAGTAAAAATAATAGCTGACAATTATTTAGGACAATATTTGTTTGTTTTTTTACATGTATGGGTATTAAGCAAAGGAGTCCTGGTGGCACAGTGGTTAAGTGCTTGGCTGCTAACTAAAAAGTATGGTGCTTTGAAGTTATCAGCGGCTCCCCAGGAAACAGACAAGGCAGTCGGCTTCCAGAAAGATTATGCTTAGAAATCTTCAGGGCAGTAAGTCACAACGAGTGGGAATTGATTCAATGAACTTTCTTACATTTTCCATTTTAAACTTCACAATAACTTTATGCCTGCTGTAAAGAATGAGAAAGCTGAGGCCCAAAGCACTTAGTCTGCCCAAGATTATAATAGTGAATTATACCTGCTAATTAAATTTCTGATTTCAAAACCTACATATCAAATTTGTAAACTAAATTCCCTGTTAAGATTACCTTCAATTTAATCTTGGAATAAAACTCTTCTATAAAAAGTATCAACTAGGGTGGGGGAGGGGGAGAAAAAAATGAGGAGGTGATACCAAGGGCTCAAGCAGAAAATGTTTTGAGAATGATGACGGCAACAAACGTACAAATATGCTTGACGCAATGGATGGATGTATAGATTGTGTTAAGAGTTGTATGAGCCTCCAATAAAATGATTTTAAAAAGTGTGAACTAACAAAGTAAGTTTACTCAGCCTTAATGAACAGTTAAGTTACAAGTTGCATTTATTGGAAGCTGTTCCACTTTATGTTCACAAGTTAATTTTAGTCATTTATAATAATTGAATCAACAAGCTACTTCACCAATACATCTTTTAACCAAAGAGCCTTAACAAAAATAAACTGGTATTGTACAGGACCAATGACTCTACAGAGGACAGCAAGTAGAGTAAGGCCTTGGGGGAGGGGACGCTGAGGGGAAAGGGAAGAGGGGGGCACTTAAAAGGGAGATGATGTCAAGGAGTCCAGGAAGAAAAAGAATGTTTGGAAACTGATTTTGGTAGCAATTATACAATTCTGCTTGATGTGATTGTACTATGGAATGATAGATTAACTCCAAATTAACAACAAAGCCCACCTGGAAGAAGCACACCAGCCTATGCAACCACGAGGTGTCGAAGGGATCAGGTATCAGGCATCATCAGAACAAAAAATCTTACCATAGTGAATGATGGGGGGAGTGCGGAGTGGAGACCCAAAACCGATCTGTAGGCCACTGGAGATCCCCTTGCAGAGGGGTCTTGGGGAGGAGACGAGCCAGACAGGGTGCAATGTAGCAACGATGAAAAATACAACTTTCCTCTAGTTCCTAAATGTTTCTTCCCAGCTCCCATGACTCGAATTCTACCTTACAAGTCTGGCTAGACCAGAGGATGTACACTGGTACAGACAGGAACTGGAAATCCAGGGAATCCAGGGCGGATGAGCCCTTCAGGGCCAGTGGTGTGAGTGACGATACTGGGAGCATAGAGGGAGAGTGGGTTGGAAAGGGGGAACCGATTACAAGGATCTACATGTGACCTCCTCGCTGGGGGACAGACAACAGAAAAGTGGGTGAAAGGAGACGTCAGACAGGGCAAGATATGACAAAATAATAATTTATAAGTTATCAAGGGCTCATGAGGGAAGGGGGAGCGGGGAGGGAGGGGGAAAAATGAGGACCTGATGCCAGGGGCTTAAGTGGAGAGCCAATGTTTTGAGAATGATAAAATGTGCTTTACACAATTGATGTATGTATGGATTGTGATAAGAGTAGTGTGAGCCCCTAATAAAATGATTTAAAAAAATTAAAAACTCAATGTCACTGGAAGTTACCATTTCCTATCACCCAAGTTGCCACTTCTCTTACATTTTAGCAATTTAATTTTAATATTGAAGATAAATATTTGCAAATCATTAAGTTTCTGGCAATTCACAAAGTGTTTAATTCAATGACCACATGCTAATAATCAAAATTGTTTGACTTATTACAGGTTTGTTTTCTTTTAAAGTATATTACTATGCTACAAAACTCTGCCCTTCACCAATCTTTTTTTCTTTTTTTGGAAACATGTTTTACTTAACAATTTGAAATAATGAAAGGCTATTACGTACCTGTCACTGCTGGTACTACTGCTGCTGCTGATTGAATCACTACTGGAGGATCTACTCCTAGAGCCGCTGCCGCTAGGAGACCTTGTGGGTCTAGAAGCTTGGCTAGCCAGTCTCTGAGGAGACTGATTTCTAGACTGGGATGAGTGTGGTGACCGACTCCTGCTGTGCTGGTAATTCCGGTCTGGCCTTCTGCCGCGTACCTCCCGGGTAATTTCGTCCCTGTAGATATCCCTGTGTACCACACTGGGCAGTGTAAACTGCTCACGAGCCCTAGCTTCGTATCGGGGGTCATGAGCTTCAAATCGGTTTGGACTTCGACTCCGAGATGTATAATAGAGCCCATGTTGTAAAGTCCGTTCTCGAGGATCTCTATAGTAATCCTGATCGTAATGTCTTGTCCGATCAAATCCTCCCGTCCCCCGTTCATGGTGTCCATAGGCACTATGTTCATAAGCACGCTCCCTGTTATCTGAAGCCCTGCATTTAGGAGGGGGGGGAAAAATAGTTAATCCATCAGAAAGGGGCGAGCAAAACTAAAAGCAAGTCATGCAAACATTCATTTTAGCAGTTTCTCTGTCTTTACCTTTGACATTGGTCATTTTCTAAACAGCATTAACCTACTTCGTAAGCAAACACTAAAAAGCTTAACATTTTATATACCTTCAAAAATTATTTTCACAGCTGAGCAAGCACTGTTTCCATTGTACATTGAGCTTGCATGACTAGTACTCCTCAGGGCAATTTGTCTTTAGGATTTTCTGAATGTACAAAGAAATAAGACAAAGGGGTACCCCCAAAAAAACAATGTGATGTGAGGGGGATAACACATTTGGAGTTCGTTCCACCAGGTCAGACTGTTAATCAAGCTTTCGATTTAGAGGTTCTGAAAAGAGAGCCTAACTGTGTGCAACCAAAAAAGGCCTGATTTGTAGCCCAAGGGGAACTGGTTTTGCCACCACCACAATACTCCTGCTCACACAGCTATCTCAGGGCGCCAGTTTTTGGCAAAAAACAGGATGCCTCTCTTGCCCCACGCACCTTACTCACCTGACCTTGCTCCATATGACTTCTTTGTTTCTTCAAATAAAGAGGGTCATGAAAGGACAGCAATTTGATGACACAGAAGAGGTAAAGAAAAAAAACGAGGGAGGTGCTGTCAAATCATCCAGATGAATTTAAAAAGTGTTTCTAAGAATGGAATTGCAGACTTGACAAATGCCGTAAGTGTAATGGAGAGTGTTTTGAAGGTGATAAGGTTGTTTTGTAAAAATTAAATACATAGCTTTGAGAAAAATTCCAGGTTTTGGGGGGTACCCCCTCGTATATAAGCCATCTCCTTTTCATTTTAAGTTTAATTAAATGAGACTTATTTTAATATGAAAACCTCTATACTTTCATCTGATTAATATATACCATATGTTTATTTACTTTGCAGATTTATTTGAGGCAAAATTTCCACACACTTTAACATAGACACAAGAGCTCTACTGTCATGTATGTTCCAGCAGTGGAATGGCACTTTTACACAAGTTCATTTAACTTTTTCTCATTATTTTATTATTTCCTAAATAATAGTAAAAGTTACTAGACTACGTATATTGTTGTGCCCTATCTCATTTAATAATAAAAATGAAATTAAAAAGAAATCACCTAAGATTTCAAGACATTGTAGTCATCACATACATGTCAATTCAATTAAAGAGTAAACGTTCATTTCCTTATACTATTAAATTCCACATAATTTAAAAATAAAATATTCATTCCAGGACTCAATTTATGTTTATGTATATAGTTTATAAGAAATATATTCTCTTAGCTTCTAGTGAGCCTCAAATTGCCTATGATGATATTAAAGTAGGCAATATTGGAAGCTGTTCAGATACTCTAAGGCTGCTGTTAGTAATGGCTTGAATTTTAAAGTATCAAATATATGAATATTTGTCAAGCTACAGGTATAAATATTGCTGCATGTAGATACATACGTGATTGTGTTAATAGTAAAAACTATATATTTTTAAGTCTAACATTCCCTATCTTTACAGAGAGCTAGAGTTTAGCTTCCAAATTCCTAAAAGACCATTTCACTTGAGTATTTCTTCAGCCTCACCTCACTATCTTCTATCCAGAGAGAGAGAGAGAGAGAGAGAGAGCGAGAGCATCATGGAAAATAAATTAAAATCTCTCCAGTAAAGAAAGTCTGGCAAAAATTGTACCACTAATAATATATAACTCTTACTTTTAATATATGTCTAAGTACAAAATCTCTATTTTCACCCCAATTCATTTAGTAGCAAGCATACCTTTTGTAGGTTGTTTTTACTGCTGCTGTGAAAAGCAATTGATGAGGCAAAAAAAATCAAATATCTTCCCTACTTACATTGCATTAATTGACTTTCTCCTTTTTTATTAGCTACAATTCTGGAAATGGGATAGAGATTTCAATGTCTAGCAAATGAGAGGGTTTGCTTTAAGCTACAATTTCATAAATCATTAATCTAGCACAATATCAAATGTTAATCAGTGAAAGCTTCTGGTTTTTTAATGATATAACAGGAGCAATAGGCAATAGTTCTAGAATTACTGTTATAGCTGGTATTCTATAAACATGAAAAATTCTTATCCACTAAGAAGACACAGAAGGCAGGCAGCACAAGAGCTAGCAGAACTGAAATCTAATGGCTATTCTCTGAATCATCTATTAGTACACTAAATACTTCTAGAGTTAGTGAGAAAAAGAGAAAGTGTGACGTGGGTTAGGATAGGGGCTAATAGACACAGGTCAGGACATACCAACCTTTTTCAAGTGTGGAACACGACCTATAATCCCAATTAAATCTAGGGAGAGAATTGTGAACATAACTTCCCCAATTTTGGCCCCTCTTACGGGGGTAATCCACCTTCTGAATGGGCAAGGGTGTCAAATGATATTTAGTTGAACCACCAGAAAAAAAAATCTTAGTGACCAGACAAAATAATTCCACTGGAAGGAGTCCCAGACAAACTGTAACTCTCAAACCCCCAGACTTCTTTCTTGAGATAGTACGCAGTTATAATTTGATCCACATTTTAAATTTCCAATCCTTAAGTATGAATCAGGCAGCTGGCAGAAATATCCTCTGGAATTCCAACAGAGAGTGTGCAGCTGCTTGCCAACAGTTCACCTTTGTAGCCAGCCAGCCAAGTCAATTTTGATTGCTGTATCCACATTGATCCTCACCATGTGTTCAAACTAAAGTACCTTTAACTGGACAGCAACTGCTTAAGAAACAAGAGTAATCCTCTTGCCCTGGACTAACAGTCTTGATTGCAAACATCCCATACATTCCAACAATTAGAAAGAATGGCTATATTCCAGGGTTTAGGAGTGTCCATCATTTCAATTTCTCCCCATTCCATCAAGACGTATAATTCCAACACAGAAATTATGTAGATCCAAAATGGAAAAACTGAGCATTGCCTTCTCACTTCTTCATTCACGTATACATTTCCAGGTTAATGTTTGTAGAATCCAAGCGGTTTAATTGTTATCATCTGCTAGATTTTTGTGTGTGTGAAAATCCATTTTATTTGTAAACATTAAGTGGTGAAAACTGAGTAGATATCTGTAGGCTCTAATATTCCGAAAATATTCCATATAGCATGACCACAAAAGCTGCAGCCACAAAGATCCAACTGGTAGAAAGGATATATCCAAGGAAGAAATCATTAATGCTAGAAGACTGGTAACTCCAAAACTGATGCTTCCACGGGAAATCTTCCACCATTTTGTATCTCAAGAGTAGATATCCAACCAGCTGCAGGAAATATCCTCTACGATTCCGTAAGATACCACCAGCCAGTGGGACAGAAATCACTTCTGTTTCCAACCCAAATTAGGAAACATTCAGAATGCCCAAAATGTTAAATCCATCTGGGGCCCCTAATTATGAGTTTCTGTTTCTCACCAAATCAAATACCAAATACCTGCCTACAGAAACCTTGGAACTTACCCATCAAGTCTCCGCTCATAACGTCCTTCTCGTGCATGAAGTGATGGTGGGGGGCCATAAGCAGGCCCTCCACCACCTCCTCTGAACCCAGAAACCTCTCTACTACGAGATGCTATGGTAACTGTATCATCCAATCCCCGAGCAGCACTCGGAATGGTGCCTGGTTCATTATAATCCGTGCGTAGGTCTCTATCTCCCATTTTGTTGATTGAGTTGTGAGCTTTCTGTGCACTTTTGATGTCCACAAAATCCACAAAGGCAGCCACTCCTCCTTCAGATCCCCTCTTTGGGAGAATTTTGACGCTTTCCACTCGGCCATATCTGGAAAAAATAAGATCATTGTTATTGATGCATTTCAGTAATTTTGCAATATAAAGATATTTTTTAGACAATTTACATCTTGCATGTATGTGGGTGGGTTTACAAAGCTACTTCAATCTGGTTTTCTTTTACACTCATAATTTTTTTCTTAGTGCAATTATTTGCAGATGTTTTATCCACATTATATTTCTCTCATTTTTTAATATATTATTAACTAAACTACACTTAATCTTTCCAGAATACTTAGCTGAAATGAATCTCTCAAAAGTTGTCTCTTCAAATAGTTTTTTAAAAGTCATAGAATTTTTACATTCCAAAAGATGTTGACTCAAAGTAAATAGATTATTAAAATAAAAACTGTAATAAGTAGAGATTTCCTAACAATTTATGAAAATGATGTTCCTGAATGCATGTAGGATTGTTTCAAACACTCCTCACTCAAAGAAACATTAATTCAAATACTGTGTGTTCTTTTGCAAGTGACAGTATACATTTTCTAAAGTTTTTTGCTACTTTATTTTCTAGGGGTTCAAAATAAAACTGCTAAAATGTATAACTTAAATATAATTAACTTTTAATCATATATAGAATTAACTTTCCTAATTAATAAATTGAGATAGCATTTTTGTTTTGTTTTATTTGGCATTTTAGAAAGGTAGGTCCAAGCACTTTTAAACATAACAATCTTATTTGCTGACCATCTAAAATCATAATTTTAAGTTTCCCTTAATAAGCTGACAGTATGTATGGATTGTTATAAGAGCTGTAAGAGCCCCCAATAATTTAAAAAAAAAAAAAAGCTGACAATAGTTTTTTTTTTAAAGCTGACATTAGAAAGAACTTTTCTGCTTATATCTTATGAGTTATGGTTCTTTAAGAAAACAATCTTAAAATTCAGTTCTATATAGCGCAAATTAATTAAATGATCTTTTTATAAATAAAACTTCTAGAAATTAAAATAGTGCTTTTCACATGAACATAAAAAATACCTCCTAATGTATCTGATAAAGAACTTATAACTAGAACCTATGAAGGAACTCCTATAACTCGCACAATGATCGACATCTAACCCCTACCCTCATCCCCCAGAGGGCACGAAAAACAGAAATGTGGGTGAAGGGAGACAGCAGATGGTATAAGATATGAAAATAGTAGTAATTTATAATTTATCAAGGGGTCAAGAGGGTGAGAAGGTGGGAGAGTGAGGGGAAAAAAGAGGAACTGATACCAAGGGCTCAAGTACAAAGATGTTTTGAAAATGATGATGGCAGCATGTACAAATGTGCTTGAGACAATTGATGTATGGACTGTTTTAAGAGCTGTAACAGCCCCCAATAAAATGATTTATATAAAAAAGAACTATAACTCAATTCATCTTTAAAATAATTTTTTAAATATTTCGTATACATTTCACCAAAGAAGATACACAGATGGCAAATAAGCATTTAAGAATATACTGTGAGGGAACCGATTACAAGGAACTACATGTGACCTCCTCCCTGGGGGATGGACAACCGAAAAGTGGGTGAAGGGAGACGTCGGACAGGGCAAGATATGACAAAATAACAATTTATAAACTA